CCAAATGCACCAAAGCCTGATCCAAATGCACCAAAGCCTGATCCAAATGCACCAAAGCCTGATCCAAATGCACCAAAACCTGATCCAAATGCACCAAAGCCTGATCCAAATGCACCAAAACCTGATCCAAATGCACCAAAACCTGATGAACCAAAACCTGAACCAAAGCCTGATGAACCAAAACCTGAACCAAAACCTGATGAACCAAAACCTGAACCTGATCCAAATAGTTCATCCGCTGGTAAGCCTTTTTTTGTTGAAAGGAAGGACACATATACATAAATAGAATATATTGATAGTTGTATATCTAGATAGATGGATAGATAGATTTAGTTTTTTAAAAATATGAATATGATCATATCATAAATATATAGTTATTAGTGTTACTATTTCTGATGTTGGTAATGATCCAGCAACAGTGACTGGGCCTAATGCACAAAATCCAATATATACAAATAGATACTTTTAGCAGTATCAACACTGATACAGATATTTTAACAGATACAAATAGCTTAACTCCTAGTAGCAATACAAATAGTCTAGTGATAGTCCAGTTATTACTACAGTTGCTACTGATAACTTAAGTTCAACTAGCTCAACTGGGGTTAATGTTGATCCAAATACCACTGGTATATTCAAAAAATTTATTAATCCTTTTTCTTTTTCTTTTTCTTTTTACTAAACAGAACCTGACACACATACTGATGATTCACCAAGTAATTTTTTCATACAATTAATTATAGAATTAATATATTTATACTTGTATAATTAATATATTTATATTTATATGAAATTAATTAGCTTCCAAAACATATCCACCTGGACATGAACCATGTACAAATCCTGATGATCCAAGATGTAAGCCTAAAACAACAGAGTAAGTCTCAGATCTGTGATTTCTATTTTTCTTACTTTAAAAAACATTCATTATTTTCCAACAAAATTAATTAAATTAATCAATTTATTCCAAAAAAAAATAGTCCAACAGTGGTCAGTACAACAGAAGAGAGTGAAATAATCACAGATCCACCAAAACCTAAACAAACTACAACATCCCAATCCCAATTAGACTCAAGTCATAAAAAATCAACCATAACACAATTCAAAACTTACACCACCACTTCAACATTATATTTCCCAGGGTACACCACTTATACATCTTCAACAGGGACTGATGGAGAATTAACCACATATGCAACTTACATTCCACCAAGTACTGTTGTGGTGATCAAGAAAGTTACTTCAGCAACTGTAGAAGAAATTCAAGAAAGTAGTCCTGTTTCAGCTGGACATCTTGATCTGGAACTCTCAATTTATAATTTATATAGCATTGCTACATCATTATTTGTTGTTTCCGTAACAATGCTTTACTTAATTGTTGCTTAATTAAATAATAGTATTAATAATGGGGTTTTTTAATAGAACAATAGTATTGTAACAATATTATATATATTTGATTTGTAAAGCGTAATATTTTTAAAAACTTTTAAATTAATTAAAATATCTATATATTACTGTCAAGACTTTATTCGTTTTATTCGAACAATTCGTTTTATTCTAATTATTCGTTTATTCATTTTATTCTCTTACTCGTTTTATTCGCTTTATTCGAATAAACTTTCAATATAATTCGAATAATCGAATTCATAATAATAACGAATAAAACAAATAATTCGAACGTATGCATTTATTCTGTTGAACCCAAAATTTAGCACGATATGATGATGCGAGTCGGGCAGGACCCCGATAATTTATAATTGAGGTCATAGGTACTACGTTTTTGACGCAGAAATTTTTGGATCATATTGAGCACACGGTTGGTAAAGCCAATGTCTCCGAATCTCATAATAAAAATATTCTTTTAAAGAGAAGAATCTTTGACACCAGAATCTCATGGCTCTGAACTTGGACCATTTTTACACTAACATGGCTTTATCTCAAATTCTAATCATCAGGGCTATGAAATTTTGACGTCAAAGATTTATCTCTTTAAAAGAAAGTTTTTTTATTACGATGCTTGAAGACATTTACTTGGAATTACGGACATCGTGTAAAATTTTACATCATATATAGTACCTATGACCTCAATTATAATTATCCGGAGCTCTAGTCAGTCAATTGACTCAACCAACATACGTTACTAGCAAGATATTTACCAAGAAAAAACAAGCTCAATCAAACAAATCACCATAATATCATGTTGGCCAAAAAGACTCTATTATGAAACAAATTCTAAAGGATAATAACACTTCACTAAAAAATCATATTAAATTATTGCAGCAAATTGAAAATAAAAGCATTATCTTTTTATCATGCTCTTTTTCACCTTTAATATTTCCTTGAAACCATTCTACAGCCATTTCTGGCAGATATAGCTGGACGAAACTTTTTAATTTGCTTCATAATATCACGTTTTCCACTATTGATCATCAAGTAATTGTCCTAACGTAGCTTCCGCCTCATAACCTTTGAAAATACATCGATAGGTATGTTTTACTGGTGAAAATTGATTTAATTTTTTAAACTGTTCAATATGTTGCATAGGCAGAGAAATTGTATTGGCGGGAAACTGATGGTAAGATGCATGAGCTGAATTTATTTTCATGATGAATAGGACCTCTAGATGTTTTGTATCACTTTTCGTTACAAATAGTAGACAGATATCGATGTTGAATTAAAGAAGGTGATTGTCTTGCCATTATAGATTGTTTTAAAAGCTTTAATAAAATTATGTTTATTTTACATTAGTTACGTTTCATATAGTAACTATTGAGTGTTTGTAATGTTATGAATATCTTATACTAACCAATACCATGTATACTAGCCATCAAATCATAGAATTAAACAATATAAGGATGCCATTTTGGTAATTTATTGTATATTATCCTGATAGATATTTTTCCTAATAAAAATAGAAAGTAATAGATAGGTTTGCGTATGAAAATTTACCAAGTAAAAAAATGCTATTCCTTTTGATCATTGAATATAATACCCACATAAAAACATAAAACAGTATATAGTAAGAATAATTTATAAGTTTATAAGGAGTAAACATATAAATTTATTGAAAAAAAAAATTTTTTATTTTGCGCGTAAATTTAGATAAAAGCAAACTTGGTGCATATTCATTGATAACTAACTGTCTGAAGCTAGAAATTTATTCCTATGGTTATTATTAATAAATTTGAGTGTGTATCCGGCCGAGATTTCAATTCAAAACTAGCTAGATTTTCCTCGCAATATAGTAATTTTAAAAGGGGCCCTTAATTAATAATTAAAACCATTAAGAAACAATTCACGGTAGCTTTGCCTCTTCAACTATGCAATAATTTAAAAATGTGTTTATTATTATTAATTAATTACGTTTTGAAAGTCCTTTTTAACCCTAGCGAATCCAAATATTTTTGGCGCAGTGTTGAGTATTGGAATTTAGTTATAGGCGTAAAACCTCTTCCAATAAGTTTTAGGTTATTAACTTAAAAACTCATGGTTAATAACTTAAAAACCTATAACATTATAATTAAATATATATATTACTCATTTATTAGTCTTTATTAGCATTTTGTAAGCATTACAATTAAATTCTATAATATTATGAATTTCTTCATTGCCTTGCTTTATAAATTAGTAATATTTTCAAGCAAATCATTTAATATTTCCTTTGCAGTAGACAATGAAACGTTTTTAATTTATATTCATTTTAGTATGTTAAGTACATAAAGCTTCCTTGTAGATAGATATTTTTAATAAAAATAAATTTCACATTTCCTCGGCTATTTTGATTCGCATAATTAATAATTTTTTAAATAACTATAACCCTTTTAATTTTTAAGTTAATATAGGTTATTAGCCGCCATTACTACTTGGAATTGGAAGCTTCCAATCACCATAGACTTTAAACAGAAAATTCGATAAAATTAATTTTGACATTTGTTTTTTCAACCAATAGTTTTTCAAAATGGAAAGGTATTTACTGTTGGTTGATTATTGCTATATTAATAATTGCTAGTTGCAGAAAAGTCTTTCATCCATGGATTTTACTAAAAACTAGAGATTTTTACTTTTATTTATCAGATCAACTCACTTATTTAACTTATCAAACAATTATACTATTGATCCAGAATTAAAAGGGCACAACAATCATGATTGTTATATTTGTAGTCCTACTCTAAGCCTAGAAACATCATCACCAAAATCCATCATCTTTAAATACTGTTAGTTCTCAAACCTATACTAAAAAATAAATAATTTATGAGGAAGTAAAAAAAGGAGTATTGCTTGAAAGTATTTCTTTAAACAAAACCTCATCAGAAGCTCAAGATGCTCAAATCTTAATGATAAATCTAACTCATCACAGCAAGGATTACTTGCTCTCATCACTCTTCTCATCACTTTCAATGTCTGGTTACTAGATGTCGGAGCAAAAATATCATCAATTCCATTGCACCTAGCCTCCTCGTCATGATATGTTTTCAGTATTTGTCAGGTTTGTGGTGTATTTCACAAATCCTGTGGACATCATTCCATATCAGGGATGACCATCCTGTCTTCTTGCTTTAAACAACAATAGACATTGGGTGAGCAATAGGTTTTGTCTGATTGTGGCTGAGGGAACCCTTTGGAACATGGTTCTCCATTTGATGGTTACAATGGTGTAATCTGATACTTCATGACCAAATTATACAATGTTTTTCCATGATGGAATGTCTGCATGGGTTGCATTAAGTGAGATGTTTCTTTTTTTCATGTAGGTAAAGTTGTGCATGTGGATCATTCCATGGTTCTGAAATTTGTCATATTTGAAAAAATGTCCTAATTCACCATCCCAGAGTCCTTCCACAACTTGTTCCAGCATATTTTGGTAGTGCAGGTAGATGTGTTTACACATTTATTTCTTTTTAAAAAGGAAATTTGATGGCAAGGTTGTGGTTTTTGATAGATGTTTGCATTTTTGGTGGCTAGTATCTTCTAATTTTGAAAATTTCTTCTTTTCTCAAGCATCAATGTGGCTAGTACCAACATGAGCAGGACCTAGCTATCTATTGAAGGTGGTATTTTTTAATGTACTTATAGTGTCCCTTCCTATTGGGGGAAGCATCAAAGATTCCATGTCAGGGTTTCCAAATAAGACCAGAAGTTTGACATTGTTTGATTTGACAAAACTCACAACCACTGTAGTTTGTGTCAGTTGGCTTTTTATTTGATAATTTAGGTATATATTTGAATTATTCAGATACATGTATTAAATTTTAAGACTTTTAATATTAATAAATTATTTATATTATATGATATATTGATAATACATCATTTCAATTTGTCAATACTATAAAAAAATGAAAACATTGATTTGAAAAGGTAAAACAATACTGCAATTATGTATGTGTGATTAAAAATTACATTTATTTTTTTGACAAAAATTATTATTTTTTATTTAGTCTGCATATTTGACATCTGAATTTCAAAATGAAAAAATAAAATCCAAAGTTATTATATAATATCATTACTCAAGACATTTAAACTATAGTAGCCAGATAAATAAAAATAAATAAA